GTTATATATCGTTTCTACCTCAGGAGAAAGATAAAGATGGAGAACTAGTAGCAGGGAGGCACTTTATATGGGCAGGGCCAATATGATGTGCTAAAGTTTCTAGAGGTATACAAATTAGTACATTTCTGAGGTGTATGAGGTTAGATGAAAGAGGCAATGGAGATTTGTTTAGTAAATTTCAAATTATTTATTTGATAAAGTATAGGTTCAAACTTGTTAATTCCTAGGTAAAATTGGAGCCTTTATATACTGATTTGAATTATATTATTTTTGTATATGATAAATATGTGTTATAAAAGATATAAAAGAAGTGTTATATTTGTTAAAACAGTTATCTATATGTGTTAGTATAGAAACAAATATGTTAATGAAGATATAATAATAAAGATAATTAAATAAAATAGGAAATATTTCAGAACAACAATAATACAAAAAACATAATGCTAAACAATAGCAAGAATAGTAATACAAAAATTATTCTAGAAGGTGCAATATTTTAAGAATAAATGCTAATGAAAATCAAACAAGGGATAATGATGATCTTGTGCAAAGATCAAGTGTAACAATATATTTTATTTTTTATTTTATTCTTATATCTTATTAAATTTTTCGAGTAAGTAAGTATAGTCACTATCCTCAACTATATTTAGTATATAGTATTGTTTTAAAATTTTTTTTTCAATATTAGCTAGATATAGATAGTATAGGCAAATTAGCATTCAACTTGTTACTATTATATATAAGAGATGTTGTTTCTTTTACAATGTATATATTTTAAATATATAAACAAATAAAGAAATGATATTTACCTATCAAAAAAAAATATTTATAACTACTTGATAGTATTTATTATATATATGATTTTAATATTTATTTTTTTTTATAGCTTAAATAATTTTCAATAGACAAACTTATTGATTATTAAGTTATATAAAAAATATTGTCATTTTTTAATATATAAAATGTATAAAATTTTTATAATTTAATAAAATAAAAAGTTTAAAATTTAGATTTATTTGAGAGTTTTAATATTTTTAATATTTTTATATTTTAATAATTTTTTAAAAAATTTTTTTGATTTTTTTTAAAATTTAGATTATTTTATCTTTTTTTGGGTATCAAGTTTTTTTTAATTTTTTAATTTAGATTTTTTTATTATTAAGAAAGATTTAAAAAAATTTTTAAATAAATAGTATTATAATATATGATTTTTATTAAATATTTTATATTTTACAATTTTCTTTTTACAAAATTTAATATATATAATTCAATTATATTAATAATTATTAAATAAGTATATTAATATGTCAAATAAAATTATCAAGAAATAAAAATTTTATTACTAATTTTAAATTATCAAATTTGCTAATTCAATTATATTAAAAATGTTTATCTTGTAGAAATTATTTATAAAATAATGAAATATATTGATATTTTTTATTTTAAAATATTGAAAAAATAATATATTTAAATAATTTTAAATTAAAAATTTTTTATATATATTGATTTTAACAAACTCATTTATTATATTTCAACTTTGATTTATGCAATTATTAAATAGTAAAAAATTATAATAGAGAGATATATTTTTTAATTAATATTTGCTAACAAATCTAAAAGTTATAATAGTCAAGTAAAGTATAATTCTATAATTTTTAATTAAGAATTTTAATAATTTAATTTAATTTAATTTTAATTTTTAAGATTGTATTAAATTTAATATATAAATTATAATCCATTATTACTTTTAATTATGTTTTGAACTTTATATAAAATTATATAAGTTTGTTTAATTTCAATTTTGAGATTATATTATTAATAGATATTTTAAAACTTTTAATTAATTTAAGTTATCAAATTTAAAAGTATAAATATTAAACAGAACATAAATTCTATATATTAAACCTATTTAAGAATTTTTTTATTAATTTATATATTAATGTTTATATTGTATAATCTTTTTAAAAATAGTTTATATTATATTAAAATATTATTTAATAAAATTTGTTTTATTAAAAAGATGTAAACTTATATTGAAAGTAAGACCAAAGTTTTTTTAGTATAATTTTTTTTGTATTGATTTTTTTTTAGCTTGTAATTGTCAAAAAGATCAAAAATTTTATTTTTGTATAATTTAATTAAATATAAATAAAAATTAAATACTTAAATGTGCCATATATAGGAAAACCAGTAAATTCAATACAAAAAATAAATAAATATATTTTTGTTTTTTTGCAGATATTAAACTAAGAATATATATTTAAAGATTATTTGCTATATTATTAATTTATAGATTAATTTTTTTTTTAATCTTTTTCAGATTTTATTAATTGTTTTTTTTGGTTTCATTAAAATTATTTTGATGTTTATTGGAATATAGTTTTTGTTAAAAGTGCAAAATTTTTTATTTTTGTTAAAATTTTTTTAAAATAGATAAGAAAAAGTATAGAAAATATTGAAATTTATTTTTATTATTTTATATAACAAATTTTGTTTTTAAATAATTTTTTTAATTTTTTATTTTGAATTATTTTTTTTTTATTAATTAAAAATAATTTTTAAATTTATATATAGAAAAGATATTTAATTCAATATAAATATTTTTTAATTAGTCCAATATAAATATCAACCTTAATTTTTTTTTCAACTCAATTATGCTTTACCAATTTATTATTATTATTTCATAATAGTTTTTTTAAAACCTTCTTTTGAATGTCTATAATTTTAAAAGTCTAGTTTTAGAAAGAATAAAAAAATTGTTTTATGAATTTTAAGATGTTTGAATTTTTTAATATTAAATAGAAACCAATAATTTCAAAAATTGATTTTCGATTAAGTGATAGATATTCTGAAATTAGAAATATTGAAAGGTAGACGTATTTATATTTGATTTCATATTTATCCATTGCAAAAACAAAAAAAATAATCATACACAGATGTTTTTTTAAATATTATAAATTTAAATATAATTATTATGTATATTTTTATGTTGTATAATTATAAATTTAAGATGTGCGATATACTTTTGCTTGCATGATATATTAATTATGAATTTAATATGATGGTATGGTAATTGAAAATAAAATAACATTAAACAAAATGATTGTATGTACAGAATATACTAAAAAATAATTATATCAAAACAATAATAAACATAAACGCACAATGTTGGAACGCATTTTGAATTGCAAGATTGCAATGTACGTGCAGTATACATTTTCGGTTCGTTGAATTTCTTTATTTCAATTCCATTATACAGTAATTTAAAATAAAAAATATCGATTAACAAATAAATAAAAGGTTTAATAAAATTACACCTTTATTATTTATTCACATTTTAACTTTTACCTTAACCTTCTATCTTGCAATTGTAATAGAACCTCCCGACTCGTCATCATTGGAGGCATGTACAGTTTTTAACATCCAAAGTGTCGTTGGAAGATACGCACGTAAAGTATACTGTACTGTGTAATCATTGTGTGAAATTTGACTCCAATTAAAATGAATACTAACGTTACGTAATAAAAACTTAAGTAATTTGTAATACAGTACCCTTAAATATAGGTAAATGACGACAAAATGTGTGTCCTTAAAAGGGGTTAATTTTAAAATCCCGAACAATTCGAGATGGTCGAATTATAATAATCCTTAATCGGTAATGCGCATATTAAATGCTAGGAAAAAAAAAAAAAAAGGAAGGATCACGGATTAATTCATTCGATGAGAGAACAAGGTTCTCACCATTTAGGACGAATCCTAGTTACGGTAAAATCAAATCGGGACGACACGGTGGTCTTCATAGATCAATATGCAATTTTGGAAACCATCGTGCATATGGGAATCATCAAAGACACATTTGAATGCTACGTCTTGTCCAACCTTTTCATCTAAATTTAGCATCAGGGAGATCCTTGTGTGAAACATAACATGGGCTACAGGTTTAGCGTTCATCCATTTGTTGTCTCACTCCATTGTCTACAGTACGATTAAAAAAACATTTATACGTACAGTATTATGCGGCTTTTCTTTGTTCTAATAAATGAAATAAGGTTTGTTCCTATTTTTGTCGTTTCCTTTTTCTATTGTTTCTGTGCTCCTCCCAACATGCAGTGCGAATGCGAACATTTAATTCAATTACCCTTTTTGCTGCACGAACAGCATAAATGACGTTAGCATAAGAATGTTTCAAAAAAAAAAAGAGATTACAATCGTACCGTGGAAACCATCCTTCAATTCGAATAAAAAGAAATGCGAGTATAAAAATCTTCTCGATAAAGAAGACTTCATTAAAAGAGTCACCTATAAAGGATATGGTATATACAGGCTATATACTGTACCTACCCGATAGACTTGAAACCGAAAGGGAAAAGGATACAAAACCCAGATTATTGTTTGGTTGGCAATATATATATATATATTTATATATATACTTTTTTTTTTTGTTTCATCATTTCACGTCAACGTTAACAATCATATTGTAATAATAATAATAATAATAATACATAACCACATCAGACATAAAGACAAATTAAATTTCAAACGTAAAGTATAATCACAAGTTCAAACGTTAGAATTATTAGAAGCATAATTTAGAACAACGGAAGTGGATACAACCGAACACAGTAGTCGAAAATTAGGATATAAAAAGTTCAAGATTTTTTTTTTTTCTTTAGGATATTCTGGAAGGTAGCATTAACGCATTCACTCAAAATAGAAATTCACATAAACTTAACCATTAATAAATGTCAACCACATCGACCAAGTCAAAAAAATTCATAAGCATGTTCAAACGATTACGCAAATTAAAGTTTTCAACGTGCAGCAAAAAATCTTTACGTCGAAACAGCATTGAGCAGCGACAGGAGAATAATCGGGGTACAGGAGAACCCTCCGCCAATACATTTGAAAATACGCCTCTTCCCTCCTCACCCACCAATACAAACAGGACGTTGGCAAATGTAAACAATCATTCGACGATTCAAGAACAATCAGTCACCACCGACACCTCCTCTCCTTTAAGACACTACAATAACATCCCTACAAGTTTAAATAATTTCATCAGGCATTCAAAAATTTTTCGGAGTACGTCAACTTCAAGGTATGTACAATGTATGTTGAATGACTTGATTTTTTACAGAATTAACATTGATGAGTGCATCTTTTTTCAATAACAAAGTCCTACTTCTCCGGTGCCTATAAAACTTAATGTCGGTGGAATTCTCTACGTCACCACACAGCAGACTCTATGTAGTTGTCCGTCCTACCTTTCCGAACTTTTCTTCCTCTTTCAATCTCCGAATGCGACCACTTACGCATCTTCGAAATCAAATCTGTTTGTCGATTCCAGCAATAATCGTCATGGGTATCTCAAGAATCCGGCTTCTCGTCATCCGCAAATTCCTTGGCCAGAAGAACTCTTCATTGATCGGGACGGTACGATCTTTGTTCACAT